AAGAGGCGAATGCGCCGAAACGTATGCTTTCAAATGGAAAAGGGACGATCTTTTCTTGTGGAAGCATTTGTGGATCACCTCGTAGTCGCTTTTTTTCGAAAGAGCGTGTTCTGCCGCTGCTGGCGGAAAACTGGGGGGGGGTCACTACCGGTTCGAACCCCTCCCCCCCCCCCCGGAAAACTGGGGGGGGTCACTACCGGTTCGAACCCATCCCCCCCCCCCCCAGTTCTTCATGAAAGCGGGGGGGGTCACTACCGGTTCGAACCGGCCCCCCCCCCTCGAACTCGAAAACCGGGGGGGGGTCACTACCGGTTCGAAACCCCCCCCCTTCCCCCTCCCCCCTCGAAAACTGACCGAGGGGAGGTGCGGACAGTGGTGGGGACGGTGGTGGTGGGGACAGTGGTGAGGGGACAGCGGGACAGTGGTGGGGACAGTGGGACAGTGGTGGGGACGGTAGTGGTGGGGACAATGGTGAGGACAATGGTGGGAACAGTGGGGACAGTGGGACAGTGGTGGGGACGGTGGTGGTGGGGACAGTGGTGTGGGGACAGTGGGAACGTGGTGGAAACAGTAGGACAGTGGAGGGTACAGTGGTGGTGGGGACAGTGGTGAAGGCGGTGGCGAGGACGGCGGTGGGACAATGGGACAGAGGTACAGTGGGGACAGTGGTGGGGACAGTGGGGACAGTGGTGGGAACAGTGGGACAGCTCAGTGGGACAGCGGAGGAGTCAGTGGGACAGTGGGGACAGTGGGGATAGTCGGGCAGTGGTTGGGACCGCGGAGAAAGTTGGGAGAGTGGAGCCGTGGTGGGAACAGTGGTGGGGACAGTGGGGACAGTGCGACAGTGGTGGTGGCACCGGTGGGGACAGTAGGGGCGGTGGTGGAACCAGTGGGGACAGTGGTGGTGAGGACAGTGGTGCTGGGAACAACAGTGGATGTGGTGAGGACGGTGGTAGGGACCGGGAGTCGGTTGCTGGCGGTGAGAGGGGGGGAGTGGGGAGGGGTTCGAACCAGTGACCTCCCCCTCCGGTTTTCGAGAGGGGGGGGGTTTGAACCGGTAGTGACCCCCGCCCGGTTTTCGAGGGGGAGGGGGGGGGGGGTAGGGGAGAAGGGGGGGGGGGCCGGGGAGGGGGGAGGGGCGTGGAAGAACAGGCTCGGCAGAGCCGAAATTCGTTACATGTTCGTTGCCATGTTCTGCGGTGCGGGTGGCATAGCCTAGCACGGCATAGAACAAGAGTGAATGTTCGCTGAACGGGTTTTCCTCTGGTGCTCTCGTCGCGTTTCAGGCCGCCAATGCAACCGACCGCTTTCAGTCAAAAGGGGTCGGTTTTCGTTTTTGGAGTTTTTAGTGTAAGATGCCCGATCCATGAAACGGTTTGACCGCCCAGAGGGCTTGTGTGATATAGTAGTGCAGTATCAATTCATCATGTCCGGGATCATAATAATTCAGTCGTTTAGGGCACTGCGGCCAGTGTCATCGTACAGGCGCGGAGGCGTGTAGCAATGCCACCTCCGTGTAGCAATGCCACCTCCGCGCAGGCACGACCAGAGGTGTGTAGCCATGCCACCTCTGGTGCTGGGGGTGCGTAGCAATGCCGCCCCCAGCCATAGGACAGCTTCTGTCTGGACCTGTTTGGCTCAAGACCCATTCGGTGCGATGGGCAAGAAAACAGGAAGTGACTCCCTCACAAGCCTGCCACCCAACAGCTCCGACAATTCAAACGAATCCTAGTATCAACTAATACTTTACTTTGTGAGCGTCTTGGGATAGAGTCGGATAGAGCCCAAGGAGGTCCTCAAGGAACCCCTCCCCATCAGCAGGGAGGACACGATACGTCTGCTGTCCGACATCGCCGACGGCAGATTGGTGATCCCAGAGCCCCAGTAAAACCAGCAGTGATGGAGCCAATCGGGGACACGTACGCGGGGTCACTCGAGAGCAGAGCCCTGCGAAGGGTTGTGAGCCCAAACGCTCCCACGATCCACGGCACGCAGTTGGGGGCGCAAGTGCGCCAGTGTGCCGCCTGCTTCGACTACGTCGTGGGGCCCGCCGTACAGTGCGACAACTGCGGCGGGATTGTGCACGCCCACTGCATGCAGGTGTTCGGCCAGAGCCCGGTTTGCGTGACCTGCATCGCGGAGCGGGACGCTTTCGTGGCTGCGAGGCGCTCCACCATGATCCAGCACGGCGCGCAGCAGTTCGGCCGCGCGTTGGCTTCTGGTGGGCAGCTGGCCGGCCAAGTCGTCGGTGCGACCGCTTTCGGGCTTGGGGCCGGAGTCATTCGACTTGCCAGCGGAGTGCTGGCCGGCGCGAGGCAGACCATGGGCGGAGTGGCCGAGATCCCTGGGCCTGCCCGCCCAGGCGTGCCGCCTGCACTGCAGCCCGCGGATGGCGCAGACCCTCCTGGAGGGCAGCAGCTCGGCATAGACATGGCCGACAGGATGGCAGCCATGGAAGCGGAGCTGGTCAGGCTCCGAGCGGAGAACGCGCAGTACCGCGAGGAGTTCGGACTTCACCAGTCCGGAGGCGGCGGCTACGCGACTCCAGGCGCCAGCAACGCCGCGGGTCGGCCCAGCCCCATCGACTCCGCGTTCCACGAGTGCGGCTGCCGCCGCTGAGGTCGACCAGGAGGGCGCCGATGGTGCAGCAGCCCTCCTCGCCGCGGCCCTCAGCGATCCAGGGGTTGCCCAAGCGCCAGCCGACGGCATCGAGGTTGCTGCGGCGGTCGCGGTAGCGGCCGAGGCGCAGCACCGTGCAGGAGGAGCAGCAGGAGGAGGTGCAGGAAGAGCGAGCGGGGAGCAGGCGGGAGAGGCGAGCGTCGCCGACCCTCACCGAGCCACGGCGCCACCCGCGCCGAGCGCGGCCGTTGGCGGCGCAGGCATCGCAGCTGAGGACATCCTCCCGCCTGGACTTGGCGCCGCGCCCTGCCCGTGGTCATCGGCGAGTGCGCCTGGAAGAGGAGTGCCAGGCGTCGCAGGAGGAGGCCAGCAGCCCCAGCAACCTTGGGCCGCCCCCGGAGCTGCAGCAGCGGCGGCCGCGCCACCGCAGTTCGGCGGAGTCGGACTGCGCAGTGCCAGTGGGCCTCCGCCGCCGCCGCCACCGCCGCCTCCGCTGTTCGGCGCCGCGACGGCTGCTGGTGACTTCGCTGGCAGTGCGAGCTCCGCCGATGCAGCAGGTCTTGCTGATATCCTGAGCCGCTTTAAGGGCGACGAGGTGCCAAAGCTTTCTTGGACAGGAGGCAGCAAGGCATCGAAATATGAGGAGTGGTTGCAGACCAGCACCCTCTACTACGCGTCGGTGCACCCGCAGGTCGAGGCCTGGTGGTGCAACCTGCGCGCTGCGGTGGACGCATCGCACGACGAGTACCTACGCGTGGACCCGCTGCAGCGGCCGCGCATCTGCCCCCAGACGTCGTGGGCAGAGGTCGGGGCACACATGCAGGTGGAGTGCAAGTATCGGCCCTGCATGCTCCAGGCTATGCCCGAGTCCATCAAGACCCAGGCACTCGCCACCAGGCAGTTGAGCTGCAGCGAGCTCGTCCTCGCCGAGTGCGTCGAGGCGGGCCCTGGCACCCTCCGGGATAGAGCTGCCACGTTGTGGGCAGTGGGGCGCCGTGACAATCCGGCTGCCCCAGCCCGGGGGGAGGTGCACGTCGAACTGCAGCGGTGGAAGTTTGACCTCGCCAGGCTGCAACGCCTTGGTGCTGTGGCCCCAGACTCTACCGTCCAGCTCACCACGCTGCGCACGCTGGTGAGCAAGATGGCGGAGGCCGACAGTTCCGGATGAGCAACTGGCAGCTCGTTCGAGGCCTCAGTGGCGCTGCGAGCTGCAGCCAAAGCCCGATCGACGAGTTCTGGCGCTTCCTGGCCGGCGAGGCCCGCGGTCTCCACCGACGGGGCGATGCAGCAGCAGCATCCGCAGCAGACTCAGCAACTTGGCAAGCAGGTGCAGGCGAAGGTCGCGTCGCTGGAGGCGCAGATTGCCTTCCTAAAAGGGGCGGGCAAGGGCGGCGGTCAGCCGTTGAAGCCAGGTCCCACAGGCAAGGCTGGCGGGCAGACCAAAGGCAAAAACGAGGGCAAGGACTCGGAGCAGTCGAAGTTCTGCCAGTTCTTCGGGTCCGACGCTGGCTGCAAGCAGGGCGGCACATGCACGCGGCCGCACCGCGAGCTGCAAGCGAGCGAGGGGAAGTGCTTCAACTGCGGAAGCAAGGAGCACGCCAAGGACGCCTGCGCGCGCCCAAAGCGCGAGGCGGCGGCCAAGACAGCAGAGGTTGCCATGAAGCCTGGAGGCGGTTCTGCCTCGGCTTCGGACCCAGGCGGCGCTGGTGCGCAGGCGCAGCCTGCGGCGCAGGCGGGTCAGCTCGGGGCCGTGGTGGCTGCGACGATCAGGGCTCTGGCAGGCGCGGGGTCGCCTGGCGCCGCGCTTGCCGTCGCGCCCGCGGACGCGGACCCCGGATGGCTGGACAGATGGGCGACGTCGACGGCTCGGGTGGCAGGCCCGCGCGCGGCGGTAGCCGTGGCACGCCTGCTGGAAGTTGGCGGCAAGCGGATGCTGCTCGCCGACGCGGGCGCCACGCACGCACGAGCTGCGCTCGATACCTATGGGGGGCGACCCTGGGGTCGAGACGCGGCGCGTCGATCTGCAGGCGGCGCCGGGCAGCATGGGGGCCATGATGGGCGAGGGCGACGTGGTGTGCGTTGAGTCCGATACCCCTTCTCCAGCCGCTCTTCCCGCTGGGGATCTACATCGAGGAGTGCGGGCTCGGCCTCGAGTGGGCGCCTGAGGCTTGCGCGTCGCGGCTGCCAGACCGCAGAAGTTTGGAGCTGCAGCGCGTGGAGGGCCATGGTGGCCCAGGCGATCAGGGCCGCAGTTTTGCTGACGGAGCTGGCGAAGCATCGATCAGAAGGGCGCCCCACCTTTTTGGCTGAGCGCCGCGCGTGCAGGCTCGCCGCAGGGCGCATGCGCCCGCGCTATCGCCTGGACCCTTCCACCCGGCCAGGTGGGCAGCTTTCGGTTGACCTGAGCGGCCCCCATCCGCCCGGGCGATGGCCGAGTTCGTTGCAGGAGGACGCGCCGAAGATGGCGCAGTACTTCCTGATCTGCGCCTACCAAGTGCTGACGCAGGCGGAGGTGGAGCAGCAGGTTCGCAACGTCGCGGACGCGAGGGCGGCCGCAGCGGCTGGCGACGCCGCGCCGCCTGCTCAGGTCGGCTCTGGGAGCGCTGGGGGCAGCGGCACCGCTGCCGAGGGCGACGTCGGCGCGGTGGAGCCGAACGTCTGGTACTTCACCGTCCCGCTGGAGCGGAAGACGGCCGAGGAGTGTATCAGGGCGCTTGATGCCGTTGTGGCGGCGGTCGGGCTCGAGTTCCAGGGGCAGGCGGTCTTTCGCATCCACGCGGATCGTGCCCCAGAGCTCTCAGGACCGCGCGTGCGAGACCACTTCGCCACGAAGCAGATCGTGGTCACCAGGGCGCCAGACTTCGAGCCCAACAATAATCCTCGCGCGGAGCGTGGCATCGGCGTCATCAGGGGTCGCGCGAGGGCAATGCTGATGTCCTTCCCTGCCGCCGATCAGCAGCATCTCTGGCCAGCTGCCGTGCAGCGTGCGAGCTGGCGCCAGCGGCGCTTGGCCATGGGGCGGGCGATTGACCGCCCAGCATTGGGGGGCCTCGCCACGGCCAGGATCAAGGATCCCCGCAAGGCGGGCTTCGCACCGCGCGGCAAAGACATGATCTTCCTGGGCAAGGGGGAACATACCTCTGGCGGCTATTTGGTGGGCCGCAGGGTGCGGGGCGCCAGGTAGGGCGAGGAGTGGAGTATCGAGGTGTCGAGCTCCTACGTGGTCGACGCTTCGGCCGCGCTCCAGGATCCCGCCCTGTGCGACGATTCAGAGGCAGCGCCGACGGCGGAGGTCGCGCCGTTGCCGCCGCGGCGCCAGGAGGAGGCCAGGAGGAGGACGAGGCAGAGGGCAGCAATCGGCCAGGAGATCAGGGGAAGGCAGCGTGCGCCAGGAGGAGGACAGGGCGCCTGGATGAGGCAGCGGGGCCAGGAGAAGGGAAAGGTGACGGCATCTTCGAGGCGTTGTCCGAGGAGCGGATCTTCCGGTGCCCAGCGTGCCGGGGCCGCCATCGACCCCGCACTCGGGGCGAGCGATGCCGCCTCGGAACGCAGGCGGCGGCGGCGGCGCTTGCGTCGAGGAGCCGGGGGGAGGCGAATGCGGAGCAGGAGGAGGAAGAGTCCGGGCCCCCAGTCTTCCAGCAGGTGTTTAAGGAGAGTGGCTTTGCTCCCGCGACGGATCGCGAGGTCGACCAGAGCTTCGGAGCTGAGCGGGAGGCCTGGCGACAGGCCCTGGGCGGTGAGCTCGAGTCCCTCCGGGGGAAGGATGCCTTCGAGGACCTATGTGCCGCGGAGGTGGCGTCGACGCCAGCCCGCAAGATCCTGCCCATGAAGATGGTGCTCGGCACGAAGCCTCGCGGCGGCCGCAAGCATAAGGCCCGCGGCTGCATCTGCGGCAACTTCCAGCCGCAGGTCCTTGGCGAGGAGACGTTCAGCGCGTCGGTGGACATTCCCCGCTTGCGACTCGCGTTGGCCGTCGCCGCAGCGAACCAGCGGGCGCGCTCTGCCCTGGACGTGGCCACGGCGTTCCTGAACGCGGAGCTGCCGCCAGAGATTGGGGGGGTCATCGTCCGACCTCCAGCCATCCTCACCCGCTTCGGGTTGGTGAAGGCGGGGGCCCTGTGGCGCGTGAAGCAGGCCATTTATGGCCTGCGCGTCGCGCCGCGCGCGCGGGGGGAGAGACGTGACCGCGCCCTGCGCGAGAAGGTCCTCATGGTCGAGGGTGAGCGCTGCCGGCTTCGGCAATCACAGGTTGACCAATGTTTGTGGGCGATCGTGAACGAGCAGGACCGCGTGCTGGGCTACGCGTGCGTCTACGTCGACGATTTCCCGGTGGCGAGGGGAACCGATGCCATCCGAGCGGTTTCCGACATGTTGGAGTCGACGTGACGTGGACCTGTTCAGTGCAGTCGTTGATCTCTCCTGCGCACCCTGGCAGCATCAAATATTTGTCTCTTTCGATTCAGTCACGAGCTGACGGGTGCTACATCCACCAGCACGAGCACTTGGAGGAGTTGCTGGCCAAGTGGGGCCTCGATCGTGGCAACGGCGCGGGCACGATCGCAATCGGCCCCCTGCCTGGGCAGCCCGCCGACGCGGACGAGCAGGAGACGGTCGACATAGGGCAGGTCCGTCTCGCACAGAGGATGTCTGGCGGACTCCTGTGGCTTTCGTGCCGCACGCGCCCCGGCGCGGCGTTCGCAGTGTCTCGATTATCTTCGGCCGCCGCACTTAACCCGGAGTGGGCCCTCAAGCTGGGAAAGAAGATCTTGAGGTACCTGGCTGGGACTCGGCACTGCGGTTTGGCCTATCAGTGCAGCGGGCGCTTGGCATTGCACGTCTACGCCGACGCATCCTTCGAGCCATCCACGGCCCAGGCGGGCATAGCCGCTTACTTGGGGCAGCGTCTAGTGGATTGGAGGTCGCGCAAACAACCGCAGCCAGCGAGATCCACAGCAGAAGCGGAGGTGACGGGACTTGCTTTGGGAGGCGTGGTGCTGGAAGGCGTTGAAGCCGTGCTCAGCAGCATGTTCATCAAGGCGGAGAGCCCGGAGATGTTGGCGACAATCAGGCCTCGCTCCACATTTTTTGGGGCCAGGGGTCGTGGCGGACGAGGTGTTTGGCGAACCGCGCTGCAGCCCTGAGGGCCAGGATTGAGGCTGGGCTGCTCGTTTTGGGGCACGTGGCGTCGGCTGAGCAGAAGGCCGACGGATTGACCCAGACGTTCTCGGTGCCCATGATGGGGCAGGTTCGCCGTGCATTGAGCCTGATTGACCTCCACCTCCCGCAAGTTTCTCCCGCGCCAGTTTCTTGAGCATCGGCCTGATGCTTGGCATTCAAATGAGCATGCGTGGATGCCACCGATGACTTTTGTGGGATTTTCCTTTTGAGCTGTTTCGGGTCCCTGCCTCACCTGTTCCTCCAAGGCCGGAGGCTTAGCTCCCTTGCGGCGGTCGATTTGACACCGCCGCCGCGGGAGAGGAGGAGCGTGGAAGAACAGGCTCGGCAGAGCCGAGATTCGTTACATGTTCGTTGCCATGTTCTGCGGTGCGGGTGGCATAGCTTAGCACGGCATAGAACAAGAGTGAATGTTCGCTGAACGGGTTTTCCTCTGGTGCTCTCGTCGCGTTTCAGGTCGCCAGTGAAACCGACCCCTTTCAGTCAAAAGGGGTCGGTTTTCGTCTTTTGAGTTTTTAGCGTAAGATGCCCGATCCATGAAGCGGTTTGTCCGCCCAGAGGGCTTGTGTGATATAGTAGTTGAATGCCAATTCATCATGTCCGGGAACTTAATAACTTAGTCGTTCAGGGCGCTGCGGCCAGCGTCATCGCGCAGGCGCGGAGGCGCGCAGCAATGCCACCTCCGCGCAGGCACGACCAGAGGTGTGTAGCCATGCCACCTGGTGCTGGGGGTGCGTAGCAATGCCGCCCCCAGCCATAGGGCAGCTTCTGTCTGGAACTGTTTTGGCTCAAGGCCCATTCGGTGCGATGGGCAAGAAGAAAGGAAGTGACTCCTACAAGCCTGCCACCCAACGGCTCCCACAATTCAAACGAACCCTAGTATCAACTAATACTTTACTTTGCGGGCGTCTTGGGATGGCGCCCGAGGAGGTCCTCAAGGCCCCCCCCCCGTCAGCAGGGAGGACACGATGCGTCTGCTGCCCGACATCGCCGACGGCAGATTGGTGATCCCAGAGCCCCAGTAGCACCAGCAGTGATGGAGCCCATCGGGGACACGCGCGCGGGGCCATTCGAGAGCAGGGCCGTCCGAAGGGGGCGGGTTCCAGCAGGGGGGCGGGGGCGGGTTCCAGCGGGGGGGGGGGGGGGGGATTTTCGGAGGGGGGGTTGGGGGGGGGGGGGGGGGCCGGGCTCCGGAGGAAAAGGGCGGCAATTTTCCACAGTGAAGCGGCGGTGGATCACGCTCTCTCTTTTTTTTTTTCGGGTGCCCATGGGGAATCGTCTGCAGGCAAGTTGGGGCGGTTCGGACCGAATCGCCCCCCTCGTGGGCTGTCCAAAAGGCCTTTGGGGGCCCTGTTGACTTTAAAGCGAGCTGGGGGGCGCAAGGGGTGGGAGCGAGCGCGCGCCCGCGGCCGCCTTGGCTCAAAGCGGCCGGCCGCCCAGATTTGACTGTGCTTCGCCGCGAGGCACGCTATCGCTATTGATACTAAAAGGCATCCGTTTTTCTTGACATGGCATTCCCTCTTGCATTGGGATTCTCGTTACTACGATGCAGCCGAGCTGGAGCTTGGCTTCGCTTGAGGCGAAGCTGTTGGCCAGGCCTCCCAGTCCCTTTCAAACTGGGTAGCGGAGCTGGCATATGGTGGTCAGCTCTAGCTCTACTCCTCGCCATCCACGGCATTATCTGGTGGACTACAGCCACGGTGGAACATCAGGGTGCAGTGGCATTGCGCGGAGGAGTGCGCATAGATACGCAGTGCCGCAAAGAAACTTGCCGCGACACCTCTGCCCCAGCGGAGACCTTTTACTCATATTCTACGTCCCTGCTCTATTACACTCCTGAAGTCCACCCATTTACGCCAATAGGAAATTTCGTTGAAGATATTACGCATGGAAACATGTGATGCGATATACTGCCGCCTCCCACCCCTCGCAGACTTACGACGACAAAACACGAGTCTCCACCGACTACACCCGACTACGACCTATGAGGCCATTGGATTGGGGTTACTATCTTTGGGCGCATATGGGTCGCTCTTGGTTGCGCGGTGGGACATATGCGGGGCGGAGACGACGCTAGGGCGACCGGCCCCCATTGGGACCCTGCCGGCCAAGTACCATTGTGCGAGTTTGTCCGCGAGGTACACGCCTGAATCAACGTGGCCACAAGCGACGTGACGCCCTCCCAACAGGCCGCTGCACCCCAGCGCGGTCTTGGAGGGCTCGCAAGGACCATAGCCATGAGAGTCCCCCCAGCAGTCATGAATTTTGGTGTCGATATAGGTGGTCGCCACACCGACGGCGTCACCGACATTATGTTCCTCTTAAGTACGACGTTCGAGAACCTAGAAGAGGAGCGCCAACTCAACTCTGGCGCGGCTCTCATCGACTTTCGCGTCCATGCGGGAGAACGAATCGACCAGTCGCAAGCGCGGTTCGAGATAGCCCGCTACGAAGCAGAAGCCGCCAGCTTCAACATCCCCAACTTCTAGATATTAGCAGTAGTATTAGTCAGAGCTCTGGGAGTGGGGGCGTCGCGGGCACAGCAGCTCCTGCAGCCTCTGAACCACCGTATGCCGAGGGACCCGGCACAATTTGATGCTCTCCTCGAACGTATGAGGTCATATGCTCACATAGCTGAGAGAACCCCTGGCAATTTCGGTGGTATGTTTAGTCACGGTCACCGAACCAAGACCTTCCATACAGAGGCCAACGCAGGGCAACCTGCTAACAACGTCTGGAACGATGATATGTCGCCGATTGAGACCACAACATTGTTGGCCCAAAATGGCGGTACGGCCTCGGGATCTTAAGACCCCTTGGCCAGATCTAGGGGGCCACCCGACGCGGTCTCCCCTGTACAAGCTATGACCCTAATGGGCTCTGCGGCGCAACCCGCCGAGTCCGACCTCGATTCCGGTACCGATACCGATGCGTCTTTTGATGATGAAACTACCGCGCTGGACTACTCTGATATGCCTACATACCTTACTGAAGAGCATCAAGCTCAGCGGTTATTTTTGGCCTATCAAAAACACAAGCGTCGTTGACGGAGATTCATGAAGAAACCAGTCAGAAGGGTAAGACGCATGGCACGGCGGACACTCAGAAATGTTTTTAGGTGCTGGCAGGAACCGTAGGCGTACGTCAGGTAAAGGACGACGATGGAATCCAAAGGATGCCAACTGTAAAACTATGGAGTGCGACATGTGCCACTGTGCACAACATTTCCGGCGCGCGTGTCCCCAAGGCGATGGAAGAGGCAGGGGTCCGTCAATACATTTGGCTCAAACGGACTCCGACATACAGTGCGTCGACCGGGAGTCGCTTGTGGCCGACCCTGCTGACGGCTCAGCCACAGTCATTCATTTCATGGTTGCCAGGTATTTGTGTGCCAGCATGAACCTCGAGAATTACGCCGACGAGCTGTTCGAAGATGTGTTCACCGGCCACGACGATGTCGACTTGGCAGAGCAGCTGGGTACACCCACCGCGGGGCAAACTGCAGATATTGAGTTTGTCGAGAACTTCCATCGCCGTCGAAGGTGAGTTTGGCATGGCGGGGACACCCTCGGGCTCTGATTCTACCATTCCTGCGACGGATGAAGAAGTACATGCCATGCTTTATCCTCGGGTGATTGGAAATCCGACATGCACGGAATCGATCGATGACGATCCATTGCGGGGAAGCTCGCGTGACGCTGGTGACCTATCTGAACGCATTCAATGTGAGGTTGGACATGCTGAAGAATTTCAGTACACTTCTGTTGCGTCAGATCGGTCCGCGAGCAGCCCGAGGCAATCGCCAAGCCGCGCACCCTTCGCCAGGAAAAATACCACGACGATCCAAGTCTTTCGCCAATGAACGACGAGGACGAACAGGGAGATGATGACCGCATGGCACGTCGCGGTCGAGCTCTTAGTTTCTCGCCAGATCGAGGGCGAGCCCGCTCTAGCGGTGCTCGCTCGAGCGGTGTCCAGCGCCCTCATCCTCCTGAGGCGGGGGCCTCCAGTGGCCCGCCAGAGAAGACACCGAGAGCGCATGCTCCCCCGAGGAGGGAACGTCTGCGGGGAAACCCGCCAAAGGGTGATCCACATCGCGGAGAAGGAGATTCAGGAGGTGAAGTACAGCGTATAGAAGGCTGGAATGCACTTGGATTGGATCGCCAGTACATACCTGCAGATCAGATGGAATACTGGTTGAATAGTGGTTGGAACGAACATCAAATCCGACACTGGCATTCTCTTCGCCAAGCCAAACGAAATCATGATGGCGAAATCATTCGCTCGAAGAAGGGACAGACCAAATGACAGGAAAAGCTGGTCGTGCGTGACCACAAAAGGGCCATCATCGACGATCGAAGGAGCCATCGAGAGCTTCGCTACACATGCCCCAGCTATGCCGATCACCGGCTTGGCTGTCTCATGAGACGCCCATCGAGAAGCCCGAATTTCAAGAGAACGCCGTGGGTTTGGTCACAGGGAGATGGTCGGGGCCATTGTGCTGACCCTAATCGAACGCCATACGCCGAGCGGCTGACGGAAAAAGGATTACCTCCCTGCTACAGTTGCAGAAAATTGAGCAAACGAAGGCTATTTGGAAAACTTGACACCTACTCACTTTCTGGCACAGTTCAATCGTGATTGGCATGCAGGGGAACCTGCCGATTATAAATCAGAAGAAGAAAGCCCACCATATATTTATGAAGTTGAAGATGAAGATGGTGAATCAGGTGATTCGGGTATCCCGGACAATGCATGTGACGCTGATACCCCGATCAACCCTGACTACGTTGTCACGAGAGACATGGAGCTTTCTCCTGGCAGGAAGGTCGTTTACCGTGCTCGAGGTGCGGGCTGGATCACTACTTTCATAGCCGAAAGACGGAGTGCAGA